TAAAAGTAACTTTTTATGGGAAAACGTAATAGATATAAAAAGTGTTAATATTATTAATTTAGTATATTATACAATACAGTAAATCCAAACATATTTTAACCAGTCGTTTATTTTCCAGTACCCCACTACTTCATCAATCTCTCATCAACACTAGAAACACCAATCAAGTGGAAATGACTCGTTGAAGAATTGATGGAGATCGTCATTCTCACTGCTATAAAGACTCCTATTCACAACTTCTTTTCTCCAAAAAGATACACATATCTTTCTGCCTGAGACGATATACGCCAAGTATAAAAAGACGTCTATATACTTAAGATAGCTAAACAACGTCTCTGGAATTCCTAGGGTTAGAAAAATCAATATTTATAGCTCGGAGCAGAACCAGAAAATAATTCAGCATGTTACAAAGAAATGATAATAAGTACAACTTGATAAGTCATTCGTTACGACTAATGTTGCTGGCATTCTTTATATCGTGTTCCTATCGCGCTCCTAATGGAGGACATACAGACACGTGAATCAAAGATATCGGGACAAAAAGAAGGCGTGAAAGCCGGTTACTTCATCCATTTTCCACATAGCATATCTACGCCATATACGGGCATCGGACACGTCACCAAGAATTTAGTATAGCGTCAGGTTAACCTCGCGACGCACAAATGGACTCGCGTAATCTGCGTCAGCAATGCTGGTACTCGGCGAGCCTAATGCACTCCAGGATCGTACGCTTCAAAGCGGATGGGCCCATTCATCGTTAAATCCTCTGTACGGACGTAAAACACGCTCAGGTCCGTGTATCAAACTGGCTGGGAGTATACCATTGGCTATAGACGAGACGTTTTAAGCGTCGCGGAAAAACGAATTTTATCGTGGTAATTAACGCAGCCAGATACACGCATCGCATTCCAAAGATGTAATACTTCAATTAGTCGGCGTAATGCACGTCTAATAGCAAAATTAACGAACGTGGCGTAAGTGCGTCTTAATTACCGAGTATCTACTGGCACGTAGACGGGACGATATTTAAAGCCTGGCTCATACGACTTGTTCGAAATTTACGCTTCGTACGGTTAAACGTTGGAACCGTCTTCGTGGGCACCATGACAGAACGATAACCGTATTTCATTGCAGAAGAATCTCGACGAGACAATGACCGAAGGCACGATTCTCGTGCGAGTTAACACGTTCTCCTGAGTACATTTGGGACCCGAATACTTTTACGACACTCCAGTGATATCGACTTGGATGCGGGTCGCGCATTGGGTATCGTGACATTTTGGAAAGAAAAGAAGTTTCGCTGCAATTTATGCGAAACGCATATACAAAGCTTTGCAATAGAAGATAGAGTTTGTACGAGAATTATTTATCACGTGTAACATAAATGACAAATGTGTGACCAATAATAGATACGTTAATACATTATCGACAAATATATACTTCTAAAATTTTCACCTCCACCGATTATCATGAGCAACCAATTGTCCATCTGGCACGGGACGCGTTAAACGAATATCGCTTTCCTGGAAAACAATTCCACCGACACATTCCAGCCGAAGTACACGCGAGACGGTCAGCCGAAGGTACAATTAAACGTGACGTCAGTCTAGATTCTAAACGATCACAAAAAACCACGTGGAATCTGCCCGCGTCCCATTAAGAGACTTTTTCATATACACGTATACCAGGTTTCAGAGAAGACCCAGGCGTAACGATCGACTTTACGAAGTTCAAATTACGATCTAAACGAATCCACGAGGATTTCGTGCGTTGCACGGATGTATGTCGATTGGCGTCCCGCGGGCGTCGAGAACAGAAGAAGAGAGTCGAATTAAATCGCCCGGGCCACATCCTGGAGTCCGAGATCGTAATTATACGGCGGGACCCCGACTATTTTTGGGCCGCCCGGCCGCAGGCGAGGCGTCGTTAGTTTGATAGTTCCCGGATACGGCAGCCATACGGTTAACGTATAACGACGTTCGTGCCATTCGAGTTTAATAACAGAGATGCGAAAGCACGAACAGAAAAAATGAGCCAGACGACAGCGCGACGCCGGGAAGAAGCCACAGGCACGCAGGTCAATCCGATCCAAGGGCCGAATTCCTCGAGCCCCGGGGTCGTGTCGCCTTGCCCTGGGCGAACCAGTCGGGTATTATGTGCTCTCGGTCAAACGTATTCCCCTCCGACCGCCAGCATCCCTCTTTTCTCTACACGTGACTATTCCCCCCTTTCTATACCTTTCAATTATGACCAAAACGCGCCACCGGCAGTTTGTGTCTATGGGTCACTATTATTGTGCGTTACGAAACAGTCTGTCAGCATTACGACGTCCTATGAGCTTCGCTGTCCGAGTGTCGATGGATCTAGGTTAGATGAAAGTGGGTTTGAAATTTCTTTGAAAGTTTTATATGCAGTTTGTATAGTATATTTGATGTTACCTATCGAATGTAGCAATAATACGTACTGTATGTTTTGTAAACGAGCAGTCCACAATGAGAGCGATAGGTACTTCGATGGTAGATGACTATACGGTCATAGGATATTTTATCCTAACGTTGCGATGATAAAATTACTCAACGTCGACCTAAGCATAATTTTCTGAAACGTATACATAATTTCTGAAAACTCGCCCTTCTATAAGCTAAACTCGATGTATCGTTTCCGACAAAATGTACAGAGACTGTGTAATTAAATATATATATATTTGTACGCTTAATTTTCACCTTTAATTTGTACCTGAACCTCAGTGAAGGTTAAACCGACAGTATTATTAACCATATACACGCTATAGATGCATGCTATTATTAGTCTCAACGTTTACCAACGTTAATCAAAAACAAAAATGGAGGGGGCATCGAACGTCGAGTAACAGAAACTTCGTAAAATGGTTCTGTAAACAAACTGAAGGATTCCATAAGTGGTAGCGCACGGTAAACGTCCATTACATCCCACGAACAAGTTAATCAACGGCGTCCAACCCGAACCTGTATAAACAAAAAGGTAGATGTATTCCTTTAACGTATAACGTTAAGGAACGCTAATTATAAAGTAATAGTGCCAATAAGGTGCACGCCGGCGTTACCACGATAAATGATGGAACAAAAGGCGTAGGGGACGCGGCACGAAGCTTGGTCCACGCCTAGGAAGCTGGAATGCGTAAAGATAACTAAAGATCGTCACGTCGGTAAAGCGCACGCACACACAAGCCCGTTGCATAAGTCCACGTAATGACCAAAGCTGTGGTACGCCTGTCGTGTAAAGTATAAGGGAGTTATGCTCGATTATGCCTCGCCGGGCGTATAAGTGGCGCGCATGCGCGTACATTACCGGGGAAAGGTTGTATGCGTGGGCGTTGTACTGGGGTACACGTGCACACAGGGACGTGCACGCGCAGGCGCGTTAAGTAGACACCGATAAATTGACAGATAGATATAACCTATCGTGCCAGTGGACGGGGCAAGATAATCACACCTTGAAGCACGGTGCAGCACGGTGTTAATTAGACCATAGACGCCTGCATCGGTGTAAATGTGCGCATTAATCGGTCAGCTGGGTAAAAGACGTTGAAACGGAGAATGTTCGTTCGCTAGATCCACGTGGACTCTCGGAATCTCGACGTAACAGTTTCCACCACGGTGCCGCGCGTCGCGATTCCGATGTCGGTGTAACGTGAAACTCGAACTCGAATTCGAACGGGAATGTAATATTTATCGACGCTTGGACACTTTGTGCATAACGCGGAGTAGAACGCGCAGTTGCAGGTTTGTAGAAATTTAATTGATACGTTGAAAATGGAACTTCGCTTCAGGTGGAGCTTGAATGATAATCCAAGTGTCGCATCTTTACCGACATGAAGTTTCAAAACGACTACCATCGCTTATGGCCATCTTTATGAAAAATAGAACACATGTTTGACGGTGATCAATTTGTAAACCTCGGTAATCTTTATAGTTATATATTATTATCGTTACGTATAGTTACTAATAGAATGATGTAGCATAATCCGTTGAGGTTATATTAAAATTTGAATATTCTATTTTTAGCGTTCCAGGAACTACGTGCGTAAAAGGTTCAATCATCAGTTTCTGTGTCCCCTCTTTACCTACTTCCATCTTATCAGGCGATCAATCGGAATTTCAATTAGGAGCTATAAACACGATTTCAAGAACGAACACCGTACAACGATATACCATGACAATCATTTTTCTTTTCAGACGTACGATGATTGTTTCTTTCGTTGGGACGATAGGTCAGGTCATAGCCATCGCTACGGAACCACGTTATCTCACAGCCCGTGACGGATGACACAATGGAGTACATTGACACTACGTGCCACGCTATCTGGCAGTATCTCACCTCATGCCCGCACACGTATACATACGAGCCGGGATGAACGTGTGCGAGCAATTCTTGTATACGCATCGATGTACACGCACGCAGAACGCTGCGAAGGTGGAGGTACTTTCACCAGGTAGCCAAGTTCCACGATGCACGCCGATAGCCAAGAGCAGCCCACTTTGAGAGCTGCATTCCGAGTGCATACTGCACCCTGTATCCAGGTTCGGATTAATACTGCGAAAGACCCGACGTTTCCTGCATCTTCGAAGTTTCGTTACAGAATCCAATTAAACGTCGAATTTCCGTCACGTAGAATTTACGAGTATATACATAAATTATCTAACGATTGAAAAAGGAAAAGAAAAAAAAAAAGAAGAAAAAATAAGCAACGAGTTATTCGAACGTAAATTTCAATCTTGACTCGCGATTATTTATTAGAAATTGTTTCGTCGTATTTATGTCTGTATTTATGACTCGATTGTGTCGTAATGAGAAACGAGCTGATATACATGAACGAGGAAAGGTGTTTCCGCGGTTTACGTTGATTTCCTACGTGGAGCGCAAATGAGAAAAGTGTTTCCGCGGTACATTGACACCACATGTCGCATTATTATTTTAAAATGTTCGCGTACGCGTATAGAACGGCACGCTGGTGCCTCTGTACTTTCACCGGCTACCCAAGTTTCTCGATACTCACGATACGTTCCAAAGGATGCTACGAATATCACGCATGAATATTTCATGTATCTTACAACCGGCATCATTCGAAACCTTTTAATTTCTAACTACGTTTTTATATTCGTTCGTGTCCGATACGATTTAAAAACTCTCATGTTCAATCGTTTATCGACCATAAAATCCTCGAAAATCGAAAAGATCCATCTCGTTTTAAAACGCCGACATGAGCTTTAAACCAGTACATCAACACTGAATTAATATCGATTTTTAAGCAGTAGTTCATCTTAATTATAAACAACTCCCCACTTCCAAAAAGTATTCTTCTAAACTTACTTGAAAAGCAGTACTACCCAATAATTAAAATAATACTATACTTTCGTTGCTATATCAAAATAAGAATAAGAAGATCAAGAATCTACAATTATACTAACAGCAAGTTACAGACCATACGCAGCTATTAATCTAATTTTATGTAAAAACAACGTAACAACGTAATGAGATAGTAACAGAATAGAACAGCAGAAAGACCAAAGAAACCGATGATAAACGGTGAATGAATGCTCCAAGAGTTCCTCGACATTATCAAAATTTACATTCTCGACGTTGCAGGAACAAAATACTCAAGATGCATATTAACCTCGCCATTAACTGCGCAAGCACTCCGAGTTCTCCACGAATCGTTAGCTTTATCGACACATATGAGCTTTTCGCGGGCAAGGGCAAAGGAAAAAACAGAAAAAGAAAGAAAAAAATAAAGCACGAAAATAAAAAAAAAAGAGTGGAGCAGGATAGTCCAGGCTGGTATGGACTTTCGAATGCACAGTGTGTTACGTCTTCCCGCAAGTCCAGCAGTTACTGTCACGCGCGCCCACGCGATCTCGTGCAAAGGACGATAATAGCGCGTTTAAGTACGTATAAATTCCGTCGTATAACTCGCGACTCCGTAGGGCGCTCGAGTGCGCCGTTAATAACCCCGCCGTGGAAAACGACACAAGAAGCAATGAATTTTCAGAAGCAGAGGAGGCACGACCCCCTCTTCCTTCCTCTCCTTCTTTTCTCTTCTTCGGCCCACTACGTGGGTGGACGTCGCGGACGTGGCCGGTCTACGTTGGCTGAATTCGAAGACAGGCCCGTATCGGCCACGAGGCGGCCGATCCGGTATTGCTGGATGGTCGAATTCCGTGTAGGGGGACGAAGATATTTTTAAGAAAGCCACGGAGAAAGCAACGCGTAAACGTAACGGGGCGCCGTGGAAATTTATTCCACACGTTCGTTCGCCTTGCCCTGACAACGCGCGGAGGTAATAAAGAAGTACAAGGGTCACCTTTGCCTAATAATCTTGAAATTAAAACATGGCGGCGGGTGGTAAGAGGTTGTTAAAACCGTTCGGTAGGTATGTAACGAGCATCGTGCTCTTTCCGCTTTATCTCGAAGTAGAATTAAATCCATGGTCGGTGGATGTTAAGCGTCATTTTTCTTTTTAGCGTGATAGGGGTCAGGCGTATTTCATAACACGGATATATTTCCCATTTCACTTATGAATGATTGCGCTACGTCATCTGCCATTCCCTCTCTGTTAAACGAAGAAACTGAAGCCTCGACTGAACTACTTATTCGAGCAAGGCTGAACATTAAACCGCGTATGCACTGGCGCAGACTACACGTTACATACATGTGCATTTAAAGAGGTTATGTAGTTATTAACCCTTTCTTAGGTAAGTGTTTCGGCAGTCTTCACATGGTTTTCCGCTTAACTCACTAGCGCCACTATGACTCATATCTGCAATGAATGTTTATCGTAAATATATCATTGGATTATTTTATAACTGTAATGATATAATCTTGTGATTTTGTTCTTACCACGTGTGTCATATTATTTGTACAATATTGTCTTCGTAAATTTTTCAATTGTATACGTACGACGTGCTCGCAAAAGACCTTTTGCTTAAAAACCTAACTCCAACCTAACCTAAATATTCGTTGCTCGTTTTGTAAATAGAGTTAGTTTATAGAAAGGATACGTCGTTCGTTTTTAATGACTGTGAATAAACAACGAATTTCGTCTCGTTGTAAACAGTACCGACAAGTATCGGAACCACTTGAAGCCACTCACAATTGTTAGAGATCACTCGTGAGCGATACATCGAGCACGTTACGCGTCTGCACCGATCACTCGAGTGACTCGTAAACGTTCGTGAACCACTTTGGCGACCCGTGGATACGCGGCTTAACGCGCATGATCGTATATACCTCGAGTTCGTCAGACAAACTTGGACACTGGTTAATTTTAAAGTTATTTTAACGCCTTATGAACTGTACCTGGCAAACAAGTGTAGGAAAGGTCATATAAATGAGAACGTAATTGGATTAGCGCGTATTACCTCGTTCTGGAAATCTCGGTGTTCTCAATATTACAGTCAGTGCACAAGCATAAAGCATGTAACTCTGTTCGGTATATCTGGAATTCTAGGACTCCTAGAACCAATATCAATACAAAGAGAATACCGTTTGAAAATATCAATTCTCAATTATCTTTCTATCTGATTTTATCTACGATTCAACTAATTACATTACATTAATCCAATATAACGAGAATCTTGCTTATGAGAGAAAAGAACTATAATCAACTCCAGTGTTTTTACTTAGAGACCATTGCTGTTCTCACGCTTTTCTTAAAAGTGGAAAACTCTTGTTTAAAGAATTTATTAATATTACACTGCAGTTAAACCCACTAATCGTGTGCTCAGATACAGGACTCGATAAAAGTCGATAATCGTAAAAAATGTTAGATCGTCACACCTTTCTTGCCATTGCAAACATCATACATACTTGTACAGATATCGTGTAAGATAAATTACATTCTCGGTACTTCTTCGGTTCTTAAATTCCAAATTCTTCATTAGCTATCCCTTCGTATCTTCCAGGATTATTATATGATACGATATGCATACCATCTAATTACTCATATTCATCACTTCTTGTAATTTCAAGGTTCATTTACACGTAATGCTACTCTCTGTTCTTTCAATACCTTACTAAACATAACCTCACCATCTTTCAGATATCTAAGGTAACATACAAAAATGGAGCTAACCTCAACAACAGATACAGGCGAAGCTATATTAAGGTTTCAGAAGAAGTGAAGAAGCTGACAGAAAATATAGAATGAAATCGACAGGTGAAACAAAAGATTGAACAAGAGAATTAAGTCGTCATCGAGAGGTTTTTCAATAGAAACCGCTGCCAGGATCGGCACATGGTATATACACGTGAAAGTTGGCCGTGGCTAGTCTACGAAGAGACACGGTACAAGGGGATCAGCGATCCGAGTCTCGGGGCAACGTGGCTCGTAGGCACGGCAATGTTGACCAGCTCGCTCGCAAATCGGGTACAAGGTAAAGGATTCGTACGTGAGTGGCGTTCCAACGGCATCAGGTTTTATCGTGGATCGTACCGCGGCTTCATTATTCGTTTCTGGCACGTACGGGCATTCACACCCGTTCGAGCCACGATCGGGCTTGCCAGCGGGTTTCTTTCCTTCGTCGAGAGCAGAACGAAGAAACAGAATCCACGACGATTCCGAGGCCCGATCGTACGGCCCTCCCCTATCCACGCTACTCGGATGCATAACGAGTAGTTCTCGCGTTCCTTGCCATTTCTACCGAGAAAGCGCGTACCTCTGAGAGAGGAGATGCCTCTGTTGGTTGTGTGCGCGCGTACGCGTGCGCGCACGGCGGACCGCTCTCTGCCTCCGAGCTCCTCTGAGATATTTTTATCGCGATGTCCATTGTTCACTGTTTACGGTAAAAGCGATTTATGTTCGCTCATTGATGTACGAATCGATCTGAAATTGTAATCGACTGCGAAGGGAGGCAAGAAAAGGGACGGGGGGAGCGGAGACGTCGATTTTCAAGCGAACCATCCGAACCTTTCTATTCTCGTTAGTACTACACTACCACTGGCAAAAAGTACTCGATCAAATGCCAAAGACGAGATCGTTTAAGAATATGGAAACTTTTTTAATTTAAAATGCTATCGTATGAATGTTAAATATTGGAAGGGCTTGATAGAGCAAAATTGGGTTTGAACCTTCTTTCGTTTTTAAGGCGAAGACAATGTAACGAAATTTTTGTTAGTAACTGTATTGTTAATGCGTTTCAAAATTTTAAGTATGACTTGACATGATATCCGAGAATAAAATTGACATAGCTAGTTCAAAGGGCTAGGGGAAATTAATTATGGGACTAACCTCGCGTGGAACTAATACGGAGTTTCTGAAAGCAGTTATAGGTTATAAATTGACGAGAGATTGTAATGGGAATGAATCTGTAAGATATTTGCCTCAAAAATACTTATATTTCGGAATTAAAAATAACCTATTTTTATTTAAAGTAATGGTCGTTCCATTTTCAAGCGAACCATCCGAACCTTTCTATTCTCGTTAGTACTACACTACCACTGGCAAAAAGTACTCGATCAAATGCCAAAGACGAGATCGTTTAAGAATATGGAAACTTTTTTAATTTAAAATGCTATCGTATGAATGTTAAATATTGGAAGGGCTTGATAGAGCAAAATTGGGTTTGAATCTTCTTTCGCTTTTAAGAAGAAGACAATGTAACGAAATTTTTGTTAGTAACTGTATTGTTAATGCGTTTCAAAATTTTAAGTATGACTTGACATGATATCCGAGAATAAAACTGACATAGCTAGTTCAAAGGACTAGGGGAAATTAATTATAGGACTAACCTCGCGTGGAACTAATACGGAGTTTCTGAAAGCAGTTATAGGTTATAAATTGACGAGAGATTGTAATGGGAATGAATCTGTAAGATATTTGCATCAAAAATACTTATATTTCGGAATTAAAAATAACCTATTTTTATTTAAAGTAATGGTCGTGAGAAATGTAGCGAAAAAATTTGTTCACGCGATCTGTGATGTGTGCAAGAGCAAACGAAGTCGAGATATCTGATAAAACTCTGTAAAATTCGAGCTAATCTAACAAGATAATTTCCAACTTTGTTTTCTCTCTTGAGCATCTTCAAAATTGCATATAATCGCTAAAATTGAAACCTTGAAACCTCAATGCGGAAATATTTCGCAACAGGATTTATTCAACCACGATTAAATGATTCAGAATTAAATTAATTTTCAAATTAACAACATTCGTCATAAACAAATAACGCATTACAAGAAACCAAGAACGCAAGACCTCTATAAACAATAATTACTATGTAATCGAATATCTTCCTTCATCTACAAATTCGTTCAAGTACTTACTCCAGTATTCAAATAAAATCAAATTCCAAACAAAAAAATGAAAAACAGAAGAATAAAATAACAATTTTAAATAGCCTCTGGAATTTTTGTATCGGTCGCCCGAGATAAAAATCACTGCACACGCGCGCATACGCCAGCTGCAGTCCACAATAGTGTCGTTCTATTCTATATGTGACCCGGTCCTTGCGAGTCGGAGACAAGACGTGGAATTGTTCGGAATAACCTTCGTGCGGTTTGAGGTCCGGCTGCAACGTGACCGTGAAGGTCGGAACACCGCAAGCCCTTCGCATAAATTCCTTTCTATGGCACGTTCTCCCCTAACTTCAGCCGAGAGGAGTCGTGCTCCTCGACGGAATATCAATGATGGTACCACATAAATTGAGAGATGCCTTCGCGATGGGCTCCTGAGAAATCGCCTTATCAAAGGAACAGATGACGGGGAGGGGTAGGGGAAACGAACGAGTACTTGTAAGTTATTTCACCGGTACGCGCGTGCACGTCCAATTATTTCGCGCGAACTTTCCGCGAAGCGTATTCACATCGGCGCACGAAAGCGCTATTTTTTATTCCGCGCTGTTCGATATTTATGCGAAATGGAAATACGCGCGACGAACCAGCGAACGCGATGGCGGACGCCATGCGGGTACCGAAAAATATTATATTGGGATACCGAAGGTTTCTCGCTGTGTAAGATCACCTCGGCACCCGAAGCGTGTAACTCTGGATGGATTTTATACGATCGGATCGCGTATGCGGGATACCGAATTATTATTCGATGCGCTTTGGATTGCGTAAATTATTCGATGGTAAGAAAAAGAAAAATGAAAAAAGAAAAAGATATCGTAGAATGGAAGTATAAATTATAATTTATTCGTGCACGCTTGGAAGCGGAGTCGAGGTATGCTAGACACAAGGGCTACTCAAGGAATTCTACGGCAAAAAGTTTCCAGAATCCTAACCTGACCCAAGCCAAGGCTCGAGTACCCCAAGATTTCCGGCCAAATGGAAGCACGGTTTGGGTACTTGAAATCCTCGACTTGACTCGAACCGAATGCTTCTAGACTTAATTTGACGCACAAGTACTCGACAATACATAGTAGATTTTAATATTCAAAGACTTTAAAATTGGAACTCAGTTATAGTAGCTAAGAAAAAGTATTAGCATACTATATTACAAGGAAATTCATCTAATCTAGGTCTAGATCTTACGTTAAAGACTTACAGACTTTAAATTATATATATTTCATATATAGGAAATTCCAAGTTTGAATCTTTATAGTTTTCTTAACGAATTAAAATATAGTCTTACTAACCAAAGTTGAGAAACAATGTGTTCATTTATGAATATCTTTATATTCTTTATCTTCTAGGTATATTAAAATTAAAATTAAAAATTAATAATGAAGAAATAACATTTTATAAAGGACATACAAAAGTCCATAAATTATTACTTTGCTTCTAAACATTTGTCAGTAAGTGTAGTATTTGAGATATTTAAGATTGCTGTTTGAAACTTAATTCATAATCACTATAGTTAAAATGCGAAGAAATATGTACATAGTAGCTGAATTATAAATTTGAATGTCTCCATATATAAAACCATTTTCAATCTTCAATTTAATAAATTTTAGAAGACCTTTAACCAATTAAACAATTCGAATGTACGGTATACATTATAAATTATTCCTAGAGACATAAAGCTACACCTAATCTCGTATCTGTCCCTAAACGACAAAGAATTATGCTTGTCTTGGTTTCCAGTCGAAACGAGACGCGCGAAGGAATTCCGCGTCCGTAATATTCGCACGTAAATAACAAGACGTGGAGAAAAGCCGCGGACGTAAATTCAATCGAAGCGCTTACCTTGAGCGCCATTTAAATCAACGGAATTCCACAGCATGCTCTGCGAGAGAGAAGCTGCTAACTACCAGAGTTCCAACAACAATCAACGTGCCCGGGAAGGCAAGAGAGAAAAAGCTGCAGGAGATGCTTCGTAACTTGGCAATAAATTATAAATTGTGATCAGGCAGGCGGTGCTCATCGATGCATTATGGATCGTGCACGAGGATTATGCAGGTCGAACACGGCCATCTGTAAATCCTACTCCGTACATAGAACGTACTACGTGTAATGCTGTTTTACATTTCATCGTGAACTCCAACGATCGAATTGTTGATCGTTACGAAACCATAGGGGCAGCCAACCTACAAATAAAAATTATATGATATTTGTTTTACCGTTTTACCGATAGATGGTTCTAACGTCTATTTATTGAGACATTAGTAAAAGAATTCGGTACTGAACTCAATAACCGAATTGTAATTCATTATGAAATTATAGTGTCGCACAAGATGCAAACAAAAATTGTAATGTTTGTTTTGCCACTTTATCAGTCCTATTTATTGAACATCTAAATATTCGTATAAAAATTTAGGAACGTCATCACAGGTCAAATAACCAAGAATGAAAAATTACAGTTGTCACAATTTTTTTGCAAAAATGCTAACACAGATTGTAAATTAACCTTTCATAACCCACTGTCAGATAATATTGCGTGTGTTTACCTTCTTCTTCAAGCTTGCTTTCGTGGTTTTCAAAACGCACTTATATTTAAGAAAAGTCGGAGCACAAGTGGAAACAGCGTAATTATTTTCACACGCTGAATTTTTATCTTCCTTGATTCTTCGAGAATAATTCCTAATATGAAATCTCTGCGGAATTTCCTTCCATGAAATTTCTCTTATCGACGTGGAATCTAGCGCAAACGCTATTATTCGTTCATTTGATTTCTTTCTCCTAGAAAAATTTATTTCGAGTCAAATAAGATTCACTTTTAATTTTTTGAGTACTAATTTCTCTCATTATACATACATGTGTGGATATGTAATAATGTCAAAGGATACGTGTGTACCCTTTGATAAGAAAATGAAATCGATTGTATTAAAACTTTGATTATGTATCGACCTTTATTTACCAATGTTTTGACGATCTGTATACACATATGTATCTCACTAGGCCTTCTAATTATCTACCCTGTTTTTAAAAATAACAGAAATATCAAAGTCAATTTTATTGATTTAAAATATAGTTTGGAAAAAAAAACATTATGCAACAATAATAATTTTCTACGTTTTCCTTTTCAAATTTTCCAAGTCTACAGATATACAGATTCTACGGCATTTATTAAATATTTTTTTACTTATCTTCATCATTTCTATATAGAGACCTAACCTCAATCCAGCACCCCGCAGATAATCGAAATTCTACTGTATCAACACCCTGTGTATAGCGTGGCGTATATACGTGATCGCGTTTCCCATACCGCCAGCCAGCTAAAGAACGAAAGAACGTAGGAACGAACGATCGTACAGG